GAACACATTAGATCCTCACCTTTCCATCCACAAACTAATGGCTTAGTTGAGAGATTTAACGGTACTCTGAAGTCCATGTTAAGATCGTTAACTCCAGAGCAGTTCAAAGAATGGGATCGTTTTGTACTCTCCCGAAATGACATTTTGTAGGCTTGATAGTGAGGCCCCCACTTTTTAATCGATTGAAAACCTCATCGATATGTTGCATGTGTGATGTCCAGTCATTGTCAAAAATTATGATATCATCTATATATGCCCTAGCGAAATCACATTGATTTGATGCCAGTGGTCTTGTTTTCGGGACTGGTCATTTATCATTTGGCTCTGACATGTCAATTGTGGGGACCAAAAGGTTCAATGACCAGGACCAGTTAATGAATAAGAAGAAATTGTATGGGAACCAAAAGGATGTGGTTAGAAAGGAATGTAGATCTAATGCTGGGAAGTTTCTTTATTAGTATGCTTTGAGAATGGGGAAGGCAGTTATCACATGGACACCTAAGTGCGAATAACTCCAACCAAGTGGGACTTAGGTTGTAATCATATGTGTTCACATAAATAACAGCCAAGTGGGACTTGGGCTTTGCTTTACGTTATATGAATTTTACTACATTTTTGAAGATTAAATAGCATAGAAAATTACGCTACCGTGTACGTATATATCATTCTGTTTGCTTCCGGACCGGACTATTGGACTTCGTCACAAACAGATTACCACATAGTTTATCTGATTATTTTGAAAATATTTGTCATAGTTATGCAACAAGGTTTAATTACGAATATAATTTAGCCATATCAAAATGCCGAACTAACTTAGGTAAATTTAGAATTTCTTATATGGGTGCTAAACTCTGGAATACAATACCTGTTAAGTTAAGAGAGACTACCTCGAGGAATGTATTTGTTTCAAAACTGAAAAAATTACTTTATTCCGAGTATGAAGATATTGATGCCTATTTATTTATTTTCATTATTTTATTTATATATTTATTTTATTCTATTTTATTTATTGGGGCTGAGGGGGATAGTTAAGAAAGGGGCCAAGCTCGATTAGACTTGTCTATTTCTTGACTCCTATTGTATACCATTTGTTTGTTTTTTGCGTATACAATAAAGAAAGAAAGAGTCCGATCCATCACATTTAAGACAGTTAGTTTGGACAACGAGAGTACACAACATTCCATAAATGTTTTCCTCTTATCATACAGTTTACTAGTCTTTTCAAGAGCAGGGTGGTATTGTCTCTCATTAGTATGGCTTTAATATTTGTCAAAATAGAAAACTATGAAATAGGGCACAACAAAAGATCCAGATTAGCATGGGTATGAACGCACAAAACAAACAGATGTCTGGAAAGTCACGTTTGCCTGTTTACAAAAAACTGCGTAACATACTAGTGACGTACATACTAGTCATACACACGAGCAGGATTTTAAAAGTTCCTATGCTTGCAAAGCATAGGAACCAAACAGCCTACATCAATAATACAGATATTGAATTGCACATAAAAAAAGATTGTAAAAAGGCTTTAAAAAGTTTCAAGAACAATAACAAATTTACAAAGTTTAAAAACAGTGGAGAGTATTCATACTGTTTTAGAATTGATTACTAACAATTGTTGGATGGCATCAATAGATTTAAAGGATGCATATTACAGTGTTAAGATTAATAAAAAATTTAAAAAAATTTTAAAGTTCTATTATAATGGACAAATGTATGATTATATTGTATACCTGAATGTCTATCTTTTTGTTCTCGAAAATTTACATAATTATTAAAGCCACCTTTAAGTATTAATAAAGGAAAGATTGACACATTGTATGTTCTTACACTGACAAATTCCTTTTGGTAGGATAACCATATAAGTCATGTGTCAATACAGTATTAGATACAATTACAATTTTTGTTAAAAGTTTATAACAAACAGTGGTACTAAATTGAAACAGAATATGTTACTAAATGCTGGAGAATTGTAATAATCAACCAATATTAACAAAAGGCAGTGATAAAATGTTACACTACAATATTTGTGTTTATCTTGTTTAAATACAGTAACCTGTTACAGGGTTTGTTGATATTACAGAATAAATTGTTTACTGTTATGTCGGATGAGAGTGTTTAGCTATCTTTACCTGATTGTTGTGGATATTTGCAAAATTTGGCTCAATGTGCTCTGAAGTCTTGTACAAATCCATACCGACGTAACCAATGACGAAATAACGATACTTACCTGGAAGTTGAAGTTTAATTAGAATTCTACGAGTTATTTCGCACCTAACTCTAATTCTTAATTTTTTTACCTCAACGTTCTTCTCAGTCACAACATATACTGTAATTAACAAACATTTTCACCTGATTTAACCACTCTCAAAGTACCTTTTTCAGCAAATAAAGTACAGCGAATCTGTGATCGCTAGCACGATAAGCGGCTGCCATTTTGCAATCATTAAGAAATTGCCAGAACTTTTAATTCTTAAAGTTTTTACCTCAATGTTCTTCTCACAGTCACAACAACATATAATTAACAAACATGTTCACATGATTTAACCACTCACAAAGTACCTTTTTCAACAAATAAGCCCACAAATAAGTACAGCGAATCTGTGTTCGCTAGCACGACGAGCGGCTGCCATTTTGCAATGTGGCTGCCATTTAGCAATCCGTAAGAAATCGCCAGAATGTCTGAGTTTGCAGCGTGAAGTTTTTTGATTAAACGTTTATGAAAGCTTATCTATTTGCCGTATTGCATGTCATTCTTTATATTGTATGGTGCTGTTGTTTGACTATGTGTGTTCATATGAAATTCACACGTACGATAATTACTTCAAAAATTAGTAATGATCAAAATGCGTACACAGATCAAAAAATAGGGATTAGGCCTAGGCCTAAATCCAGAAAAACAACTAAAGCCAATGATAAACGTCGGTTCGATTAACCTCGATTACGACAAGAAAGTTCAAAAAGATGGTACTGCATGATGCCACATTTTGTTGTCGGATGTTTCATGGGAAAATTCCAATTAAAATTATAAGACTGCAGCCTTTAATGGTTTCAAAATTTAAGAATTGACTCGGACATTCTGGCAATTTCTTACTTGATTGCAAAAAAGTACAGCTCGTTGTGCTAGCAAGCGCGGAAACCCTGTATCAACCTATATTTATAAAGGTATCTTTTTGTTGAAAAAATGTACTTTATGAGTGGTTGAATCAAGTAAAAATGTTTTATAATTATGTGTTGTGACTGTGAGAAGAAAATTCAAGTAAAAAAATTAGGAATTAAAAGTTAGGTGCGAAAGTGCATTCCATTAGCGCCGCCTCTGCCTAGCTAGGCCTAGCCTATATAGCCCTACTTTTTTGGCCCACCACCACCAAGCTGCACCAGCAGGGAAGCCGGCGCTAATGCACTTTAGTACTGTAACACTTCTATCTTTAAAAATTGTCTTTTTACCTACTGTGCGCTCCTAACAATATCTTACGATTCTTTTTCATCCTGTTCTCTCACTAATTACACCAGTTTTTAGCATTTTATTACTAAAAACAACGTTCTTTCCCAGCGATTCATGACGGTAGCGACTCGCGATGTTTGTTTATAAATAATTAATTGCCAGGTTGTTATCCAATTTTAAGGACAGCTCTGTTCGTTGCCAGGTGTTTTTTTTTTCCATTTTGTTATAACGATGCCTTTTCATAAATTGTTATTTGTATTTTTAGCTGTATATCGTTGTTCTGGTACAGTGCAATATTATAATGACATATTACATTTAGGGACAAGCTATTATTTCATCGGGGAAATCTGACCCCTCATCTGACCCCCCCAAAAATCATTACACTTAGAACCTTTATTACATTTAGACCCTAAAATGCATAGGACCTGTATTATGTTTAGACCCAAAAATTATTACAATCAATCATTTGTCAATCATGGCCATTATTACACTTAGGA